AAATAGTTTTAAATAACAATCAATGGGAGATAATATTCCAGGGTCACGGGTTATTTAACAATCATGTTGCATTCTTAGCTTAAAATAACTAATTGATTTATCTGGATTGTTGGTTCACAGGGTTGATATTACTCATAAGAATCTGTCGAGCCCTTACTCGCCTATTCAAGCTAACTTAATACCTATATGTCTATGGAATTAAATTTAACAAGAACGCATTTACAATTCCTGTATTGCAACCGAGCAAGGCAATTAGGTATATGTCTATCCCAATTGCGAATCCTTTCCCCGATGCCCGGGTTTAAGAACTTGCTCTATTTAATTCTATATGCAATCTAGAGTTCCCACTTTCGAGTTCAACTCTAGATTCGTAGATAGTATTTCACTGTTAGCTACTCAGCAAAATAATTAAAAACAGAATTAAATAAACAACCCAATATGATAAAATCAACTTCGTCAAATTAAACTTCAAACATCAACATTCATGTATACCCATGACCCTAGAACAATAGGGTTCTTAGCCACTCATATTCAGGCAATCATCAAAAATTCACAAGAGTGCATAAGAATCAATAAAAGAAAGAGAGAATAGGAACTCAAGACGAATTCTGTGGTTTTAGAACTTTGTTGTGGCTTTTTCCCCTTCTCCAATATGTTAGATAACCTAAAGGAGGCGTTTTTGGCTTATATATTGCGTACAAAAGTCGTGGGCCAAAGCTCTCCTATTCCTAGTCCAAATCGGCTTCAGGGATTGATGCTAAGGTGGATGCGACGCATCCACCTCGTCCTCCATTTCAGTTTTGCCTGCGAAGGTGGATGCGACGCATCCACCTTGTCCTCTATTTCTCAGCTTTGCATGCGAGGGTGGATGCGACGCATCCACCCCTAGTTCCTCCATCTCAGCTTTGCCCAGGTGCGGATGCTATGGCGGATGCTATGGGCTGACTTCACTGCTAAGGGTGCGCGAAATCAGATCTTTTTCTAGATTGGATGCGACGCATCCAATCTCTCTTCCTCTACCTAGAGCACCTTTTCTTCATATTTTTGCACTCCAAACACCTTAATTCACCACACACAACTCAATTAGTCATAAAACCAATAATTAAATCATGTTGGGCATTTTAAAGATCAAATAACATCAAGAAGCGATTAAAACATGGGTAAAGTAATATCAACACATATCGAAATATGCCAAACATCACATACTGACATGAGAAAAATTGTAACTTATCGTACTTTTCGTGTAGTTTTGTATATCTAAATTTTAATTTTAAAATACTAAGTTGAACTAATTTAATTTAGCTTCAAATTTTAGTCAAATTGATTGTCGATAAGCGAAATGTGTTATCTAAATTGAAGCAGAGAGAGTAATTTTTAGACTAATTTAAAGTTATATTTAAAAATAAAATATGATATTATTTTGAGTATAGGTAAAATATTTATGTAAAAAGCTAATTAAAATTTCTTAGTAAGGAAGAGAACGTATAAAGAGGAAAATAGAGATAGTGCGAGGATACTTTTATTTTTAAATTTATTTAAAATAAATAAATAAAATTATTAAATAATACTAAAAATATTATTAATAAATTTAAATGATGAAAGAGATCCGAGTAAGAGGATAATAGTTTAAAAACACATTAAATTTCGAGAATAAATTTTTTTACATTTATTAATAATTATTAAAAGGGTAATAAGCAAGACATTAAGTCAATTTATAAGCTAATAAAAAATCACATTACAATATAACAATATTAAGTAATAAATAATGCAAAAACTATAAGCAATGAACAATAAAGAGAAAAATATTCTGTCTAACAATGTAGAAGGATAAGACTTATTTGAATTTGAAATAAAAAAATAAGAATTTTATTAAAATAATATAATTTAATATACTCAAACAAGACATGTCACAATGTTACATGTTTAGTATTCCTTAATATTGACCGTAAAATATAATACAAGTGTCAAAATTATGAGGTTAGGTTCTTACGGATATAGAAAAAGAAAACAGATTATCCACTATGAGATTTGAAAATGATTTCATGTAATGCTTCTTAATTAATATTAAATAATTATTTATAATTTATATGTAGAAAGTTTAATTTTAAAGTTATTTACACATAATTCAAATAATCTAAATCATTGTTTGACATTGATTATGTCCGCACATCATGCGGTTACTAATACTAGTTAAAAATTAGTCGTAAAAAGTCATAGTCAGATATTCAAATCAAGTGACTCATAAGATAAAAAAACAGACAACTACAAGTAATGTGTTAGAAAGGAATGATATGCCTCTGTATAACATTGCAATGTGTTAGAAAGTAAAAATGTCACTCTGGGAATTATTAATAAGTGATTTCTGGTGTTTGATGCCAGAATATTTTATAGGGAAAAATATTTACCACCAAAAGAGAAAATAACTTTCCTTACTTTCTGGCATAAAATTATTCTCCTTCAAAATTATCTCAATTTTTATCTTTATATCATTATTTTGATCAACATATAGATATTATTATCAATTTTTATTACTCAAAAATTTCATCAAATTTGTAAATGTTGTTATAATTTTTAATAAATATTTTTCGGAAAAAAAGGATTTCCCTCCTCCAATAAAACATTGGGAAATATTTTTCAAGAAAATATTCTTAAAAAAATAATTCAGTTTTTCAAAAAATATTTTATGAAAAATGACTTATGTCATACCAAACACACTTAAGAGTTTCAAGTTTTCATATAAAATGAAATTAGTTATTTTTTGTGCCTTTTGGTATATTTCCTTCGATTGCAAGTCCTGGCCACTTGCAAGGCATACAAATTAGTATTAATAGTATATAGTCTTTTTGAAAGGAAAAAAAAAAAAGAGACCAAAGACCGGATTTGTCTCCAATCTTATTAGTCAACTACAAAAAAATGCAAAAAAGTACCAGAAAGCCTCAAAAATTGAAAAGTATTTAAAACATTCAGTGTTTGGTTACTCATTTTTAATCCCATGTTACTAATGTTTACCCAGTATTTATAATACTTTTGAATTGCATTTATCACTGATTGCTGCAATCTTTTACAATTATATTAAACGATAATCACAGTAAGAAATTGCCATCCAAAAATGATTGAAGTTGCTTTCTTTTCTACTGAAATCCATGTGGCCCAAGGCAACTTGTTTTTTGGGTTAACTTGAAGTAAACAAAACTATCAGGACGTAGATATAAACTGTTTAATTATATAATCAAGTTGATGTAAACAAAAGACAATCAACTGAAACCATACTTCATGACATGTTCTACATTCAACACAGGGATAGTCTGACAGTCAAAAAGTCACAATTCAAATTACACTTTAATTTACGTGTATGTGTTTAATGATAGATCTCCTAATCATTACTACACTATTTACTAACTTAGGTCTTACGTCATCTTCTTTCGTTTTTTCCTCAAAATAAAGAACTCCAAAGAAATGAAAAAAATTATACTTAAAAATTTTCATAATAAATATGTACTTGTGGGGAAATAAATTCAGTTCACCAATTTATTTTAATAAGAAAAGAAGTCTACTTCATGTCTTTGTGTTTTTTTATATCAAGTATACATGTATTCATAACCTCTTGTTATTATCTCTTCTGCTATAAACTTATAAAAGTAATATATTGTGAAGTTAGCTGTAAACATGAGTAAGTGAGATCAGTTCATTCGTCTTAAATAGTTTTTTAAAATCTAAATTTTATTTAAAACAAAATCAACTATTTAAAGTGTGATTTCTTGCAAATTAATCACGCTAATCTATTGATTAAAAATGTTAATCCTTGTACCAAAACATTTTTTACTTCATCTATTCATGAATATTGTCTTTAGTGAAATTGAGTGTGGCTAGTCAGATGGATCATTTGAAAAATAATATCTATAGATGTAAAAACTAGTGTAAAGATAGGACACGTTCAGTCATTTAATATAGTATTAAAAGTATTTTGAAAAAAATCATAGAAAGACATTCAAATCAATCAAGTGACTCAGACAACAACTAAAAAAAAGTAAGAACAAGGAGAGATGAAAGATATGAAGTTGATTATAAAGATGAATAGACACGATCCTCTCGGTTGGTAAATTACCCCACTGTTTTTATTTTATTTAAATGTCAACAATTTAACTAAGTTTTAATATTATAAAGATGTAAAAATAAGTCCCAGCTGCCATGTTTATTTTAGTGAAATATTCCTTTGAGATATTCGGCAATCCAGATTGGTTTGCTGACAATAGTTTGTATAGCAATTCACAGAGATATACTCCTATTCTTATGTTTCCCACGTGAACCTTTAAGTTTGTTTTAGAACGACTTCTTTAAATTTTTATGACTTTGTAATAATAAGTGGAATAGTAATCCAATAGGTTAAATGTTTAGACTGTTACAAAGATGAATCCTTTACTATTTTTCATTCCAAATTAGCCGTAAATTTGATGTTTCATAAAAATAAAAAATTATTTATCATTTTTTGTTTCAAAATATCTCTGTACTACTTCCAGATACTATTATGAATAAAATATTTAAATATCTTTCTTAAGGTGTGTAAAACCTAAAAAATGTCAAAAGTCTTCTATATATCTATTAATTTCCAAACATAATCCTTTTTTTTCAAACTTTGATCTCGTAAGAAACAACTTTAGCATCAAACCAAAACCTTAGACAAAGCTTGGTTTGAGTAGCTCAGATCCAATGTAAAAATGTTTAGAAACTTTGATATGAGGAATTATAAATTTATAATCTCTAAGGTTTAATTAAATTTGTTAGATTCTGTCAAAATTGAACTAAAAGAGCCCTGATTTCCTAATATAAAACTAAGAAAACGACAAGAGAGCAAAGCTAAAATTTAATCAACCACTAGTGCCAAAACGTCAATTAATTTTAAATTAGCTGTACTGTACTTCCCACTTTCCTCCATGTGAAACCTTATTATTTAAAGTAGGGATTAATGAAATTGCATTTTCCCCTTTTTAAATTTCCCTTTCTGAAATGGCGACCCATACTCATGCAACAAATGTAGACAAGATCTTTGGTCCAAGGTGTCTTCGTCACAGAACAAAACTATTACGTAACAAATAATCTTCTATACAATAAATGGCTGCAATTTTTTACATTTTTATTTTTCAGAGCACCTTCATTTTCTCTCAGAAAAAAAATCACCATTACTCTAATTTTCTCATGTTCTTGAAGTCTAAGAGACCATGCTAAGATCCTCTAATTTATTTCTCATCTTCTATACAATAGTATTTTGTTTTACTGCAGGCAATATTGAAGCACAAAGTGGTCAGCTTCCTAAAGATGAAGGTAAAAAGATTTAAACTTTTTCTTTTTAAAGTAATGTATGTTAAAAATTAAAGGTTGATACCAATTATTTTGATTACAGTGGAAGCTCTTAAAGAAATAGCTACTCAATTGGGGAAAAAGGACTGGGATTTTAAGCAAAACCCCTGTGATGGGAACTCAAATTGGAGCACACCGAAAAGGAATGATATGCCTCTGTATAACAATACCCTTGTCTGCAATTGCACTTCCCCGGATGGTCTTTGCCATGTACAAAGCATGTAGGTTTCCATTTTCCTCTCTTCTTGTTTTTTTTGCTTCCTAAATAATATGTTCTTTTTGTTAGTACTGTTTTTCATGGTTAATTGGTGAAGGGAACTTGGACACGAGTTGGTTGATTTTTGAAAAAAATATTGTATTTGAAATTAAGTTGAAAAAGGATATTTGGAAGTTGCAGGTGTGTTTGGATATCAAAACACAATTGAAGTTTTGTGTGTGTAAACTTAAAAAACTTGAAAACTCCTAAAAAACCTGTTTTTCAAGCTTCCAAATTCCATGTTTCAAGTTTGAAGTTGAAGTAATGAGACAATTTGATAAACAAACACTAATTTCTACGCTTATTCATTTTTTTAAATGTCCATATTAGTTAAAGAAAATCCTCAAAATTGCCTCCTTCAAAGATCATAAGTCAGGGAAAAGGAAATTGAGGGCCTTAGTAGTTTGGATTACTTCTGCTGATCTAGTTGATATGTCGATTACATAAAATTTGTTAAATGGTACTCCTATTAGGTAATAGCGTTTATAGTTAAGGTTTATTGTTAGAATACCATGTGTTTGATCTAGATATTCAAATATCACATTGATGAACATGACTAATTCTTTAAAGATTTATCTGATAGTCTCGAGTTTATCTAAACCAGACAGGCTTATGTCTAATAGCTGGTAATCTGACGGTGGCTGCTGTAATTGTCAACAGATTTCTCAAAGGACAGGATCTTGCAGGTGTCCTCCCTGCATCTCTGGCGAAGTTACCGTATCTGAAGAAAATGTACTGAGAGTATCCAGAATAATTGTTAGAAAACCAGTTTGAAATTTTACTTATTTTTAAAATCATTATGGTTTTACCTTTTCTGCAGTGATTTCAACCGCAACTTCTTAAGTGGTACAATTCCCCCTGAATGGGCGTCTACCAAGTTGGAATTCATGTGAGGCAATTTATTCATTAGGCATTAAAATGTATATATACCTTTGATTCCATACTCTCATGAATTGGATGTTTAATTTCTAGGGTTATTTCTACTAATCGGTTAGCTGGGCCAATCCCAGAGTACATAGGAAATATGACCTCACTTACGGTTATGTAAGTTCCCTACGTCCACTTTTCTCATATGGACTGACTGTACAAGAATACTTGAAATTTCCTGAAGTCTTCATAAATTTTCAGGAGTTTGGAAACAAATTTGTTTAATGGATCGTTTCCAGCAGAAGTAGGGAATCTGGTCAATTTACAGAATCTGTAAGTCAATTTAATTCATCCTTGCTTAGGAAGGACACCTCTTCCAGTTGCTTCGTCAATTTAAATGACGGAGTGATTGCTCTTACAATATAGTGTGCTTCTTCAAAGAGCAGATCAAGTGTGAGCTGGATTTCATTCTAAAATTGATGAACTTTGATTGGTGCAGCGTTCTCAGTGCTAATAATTTCACAGGAGAGTGGCCAGTGGAACTGAATAATCTGACGAAATTGATTGAACTGTGAGTGCATTTGAATGTGCATCTAGGATGAGATTTCTAATTCTTCTTCCACATATGTCAAGTTGAATTCCTGCATTTCCCTTTTGTCATCAATACAGTAGGATGAGCAGTAACAGCTTTGTTGGGAAACTGCCCAATTTTGAGAGTTATAAAAATCTCCAGATGTTGTGAGTATTTTCATTTGTAAATTTTTGTACAAGTTAGAAAAATCCAGTAGAAATTTATTTGTAGTATATGCTCTTTTAACAGAGAGATTCAAGGTTCTGGATTTGAAGGACCAATTCCACCAAGTGTTTCTAATTTCACCAGTTTGACTGAACTGTAAGTTTACGCCATTTTTCTGGAGACTTTATTTTGCTTTTTCCAATGTTCTTATGATTAGGCTAAGTAGAAACCAAGATAATTAACAATCAGATGATGCATATACAGAAGAATCAGTGACCTGAAGGGAGGTACTTCAGAATTTCCACCACTTAGAAACATGACAGGCATGACTAAATTGTAAGTACCTAATAATTTGGGAACTATGGGTGGAGTTTCATACACATCCTTTATCAAGGAACGTCATTTTTCTGAAACTAAGTTTTGACTGCAGGGTTTTGAGAAGCTGTAATATAGACGGGATGATTCCTGATTTTGTAGCTGATATGAGCGAATTACGGTTTTTGTAATTCCACTACTTTCAATGTATTTTTGAATTTATTTTAAATGTTTTCCTTAATGATCTCATTTTTTTTTTCCTTTTCCTGTTATTCAAGCTGTGGATAATCCACTCAAAGCATGAAATTTGTGCATGTCTGATTCCCTTCATGGCTTTCTTGTTTTCTTCTTTTCCTTCTACAAGCCTCTTCTCTTTTTGAATAGGAGAGGAATGAGGGTTGTTGAATCTTGAAATGCAAACAACATACCTCGCTTTCTTGAAATAAAATGATCTTCTTGAAAAGAGAAAGAAGGTAAAATAAGAAAAGGAGATTATAGAGTTCTCTACAAACCTGTCTTTTGAACTATCCATTTTCTCTATCCTTTATCTAAGCTTAATTAAGCTTTTAACAATTGTGCTATAGTTTGTTCAGCCATATGGGATTGAGCATTCTTTTGGGTTTGACTCTGTTTATTTTTTATTGCAGAGATCTGAGTTTTAACAAGCTTGAAGGAGGGATTGCAAATATCGAAAGCCTGACTAACTTGGAGGCCACGTAAGTCAGAATGATACGAAGATTCCTATAACTATATGTGGAAATGTTTGTTTTGCATCTCTATTTCATTATACTAGTCTTACTATGTGAGTGTTGATGGTCCATCCTATTGTCACGACCCAAAATCCTAACCTGTCGTGATAGCGCCTATCTCAGTACTAGGCAAGCCGACAACATCAATAACCCACGATTTCCTTTAAGTTTCAAAACATAATGTTTAATACAATACCAAAAATCTAGCAAATTCCGATACAAACATTCCCAAAACCTGGTGTCACTGAGTACATGAGAGTCTATACATTACAAGCCTAGAAAACACGGTCTATAATAGTCTAAGACCAAATACAGTAAACAAGAGATAGGAAAGAAGACACAAGGTCTTCGAAATACGGCAGCTACCTCTGAATCTCCGGAAAATCAACCGTGCGAAAGAATCAACACCCACTATGTCCGGGATCACCTGGATCTGCACACGAAGTGCAGGGTGTAGTATGAGTACAACCAACTCAGTAAGTAACAATAATAAATAAAGAACTGAAAATAGTGACGGGCTTCTCAACTAAGTCCAAATACAGTACTTTCCAATATAAAAGAGTAGGCATGCTCTCAAGTTCAACATTTAAGATTTCACCGAAATTTCATATCAAGTTTAACCGAAACAGAAAATAATGTTTTTCCGAAATTTCCAAAATAGTGATATATGACAACTGAAATGCAGAAAATAATGAAATCAATGCATCCTCTCAGAGTAATAGTCACTCAGTCCTCCCATTCACTCCAACCTCACAGTCACTCATTCCTCATAGTCACTCATCACTAGGCACTCGCACTCAGTAGGTACCTGCGCTCACTGGGGGTGTGTACAGACTCCGGAGGGGTTCCTTCAGCCCAAGCGCTATAATCTGCATGGACAACTCACGTGCTGCACGGACAACTCACGTGCTATAATAAATCCTATAAGGCCTGCTGCAGGCGGGCAGCCCCGATCCACATAATAATAAAGTATATAAAGCCAATATGACCTACTGCGGCGTGCAACCCGATCCAATAATTATCCTCACAATCAGGCCCTCGGCCTCACTCAGTCATCAATCTCTCCAGTTTCTCGGGCTCTCAGAAATCATGATAAGCAGCCCAACAACAATGATATGATGTATCAATAATGAATAAGTGAGACTGAGATTTAATATGCAAGTAAAACCGTGACCGAGTACAAAATAGTAATTTAACTGATAATTCAACATGTACACGACCTCTGTGGGTCCCAACAGTGTCAACACATGGTTTAAACATGATTTATAGTTCAATTTCCCTAATACGTGAAAAAATGTACGGGTAGCAACAATTTATTCAACAATACAGATCCATGGAATTGACCAAGTCACAATTCCTACGGTGCACGCCCACACGCCCGTCACCTAGCATGTGCGTCACCTCAAAACCAATCACATATCACAGAATCCGGGGTTTCATACCCTCGGGACCAAATTTAGAATTGTTACTTACCTCAATCCGAGCAATTCTTTAATCCAATAAGCCTTTTCCTCGCGATTCGGCCTCCAAACGCCTCGAATCTTAGTCAAAATAATTCGATACAATCAACACGAGGTATAGGAATCAATTCCATATGAAAATGCTAAATCTCACAAATATATCCGAAATTAACTCAAAAATCAACGGTGGGGCCCACGTCTCGGACCCGACAAAAGTTACAAAATATGAATGCCCATTCAACCACGAGTCCAACCATACAAAAAATACTAAATTCCGACTCCGATTCGGCCTTCAAACCCTCAAATCAATTTTTGGAAAATTTCTATTCTAATCCCCTAAATCATGAAATAAGTGCTGGAAATAATGTTAGATTCATGAATAACGGACCAAGTCAAGTTAAGATCACTTACCCCAGTCCAATTTTTGAAGTTTGCCTCTGAAAATCGCCCAAACCGAGCTCCCCAACTATTTTTAGGTCAAAAATGGCCAAAAAACCCGTTTGTAGAGCCTCTGACGTTTTCGAGCGCCACAGGCAGGCGCTGCCTGTGGCGCCATTTCCAGTATCCCAAAAATTTCCAGCGCCAGGGCTAGCGCCCCACGCTACCTTGGGCGCTGGCGCCGACGGAAAATCGTTTCCGACACGGAAATGAGCATAACTCTCTCATATGATGTCCGAATTCGACGATTCTTTTTGCTATGGCTCCGAAATTTCAATACGGGTCTAAAGCTTCAATAAAATCCGAATTTGGAGCTCATTTGCTTAATGTGATACCACTTATTCTCGAAGAAACGACGTCGGAACATTCTACATTCGATGCCGAAACCTTGCAATTCAAGTCCGATTGACCTCAAATTTTGCACACGAGTCATAAATGACATAATAGAGTTATTTCAATTTTCAGAATCGTATTCCGGCCCCGATATCAAAAAGTCAACTCTCCGGTCAAACTTCCAACTTAAATTTTTATTTTAGCCATTTCAAGCCTAATTTAACTACGGACTTCCAAATAATTTTCCGAACACGCTCCTAAGTCCAAAATCACCATACGGAGCTATTGGAATCATCAAAACTCTATTCCGGGGTCATTTACTCAAAAGTCAAAGTTTGGTCAACTCTTCCAACTTAAAGCTTCCAAATTTAAAATTTTCTTTCCAAATCAACTCCGAACTTCCCGAAATTTAATTCAGACCACACGTACAAGTCATAACACCTGAAATGAAGCTACTCAAGGCCTCAAACCTCTGAATGACGCGCTAGGGCTCAAGTCGACCGGTCGGGTCGTTACATTCTCTCCTACTTAAACATATGTTCGTCCTCGAACGTGCTAAGAACTGTTCCGGAGTTGTACAAAATTACTGTTTAACACCTGGTACACCTACCCGTGCCATCACCATCCCAGTTTGGCACCTCATCTCAAGCCGGACGGAAGGTCCTCCTTTTTTATTTAATCAATAAGCCTTAGAACCAATTTCAACCTCCGAATTTCTTTACAATACCTTATTTTAACACACGAACACCGTATCAACACCATGCACTGTACCAAAACATGATTGTGCACCTGTGCTGAAATCGCCCCATGCACTACATAAGTCGGTTGCCCATAGTAACATCCTCTGAGCCCGATAACTTTAAATTTTCACGAATATGTAGCCCATAATACACCCCATAACACATATAAGCCCTGCTCCGATACTCGAAATACTGCCACGACGAAAGGGATGCGTAGAAACTCATAACCACTAGCCGAATTAACAAATCATGGAGCTTCTCCTCCTGACAAGGACCATTACCTCATTATGAGCTGAATAGTGATATTTATTCTTTAATATACCTTATATAAATCTGATTGCACTGATTTCAGGTCCTAAAGTCTCGTCTCACTCAGTATAAGCTACACAGGCAATAAGCCACCTCAAACACTGACCAAGATCTCATATGACGCCAACAATGCGCCAACTGGCTACAAACTCGAATGTGATACATAAGGAAAAATGAATTCTGGAAAGAGCTACTCAACCCGCGTAACTAATTTAACAACTGAACAGATGTTATGAGTCTTTCTCAGAAAATGCGAACAAAACAGTCTTAGAAGGCAAGGATGCCAAGAGTTCAAATTCAAATGCCTTTACATGAAATTTCTTATTTTTTGCCCACAAATTTTTGAGATTTTGATGTTAGATGGTTTGTTTATAACTCAG